CTAGTTCTTTGTAGAGTAATTATTTACATTTTAGCTTTCTTTAAACAAATACTATTTTAAATATTTAAAGAATATTTTTTTGGCATATTTAAAAAATATTTTCAAGGGAATATGATTTTAAAATATTTTTTTGCATAGTAAAAAATATTTCGACGTTAATCTGATTTAAATTTCAAGTTTCTCCCGGGAGTTCTATTCTTATTAAATGCGTTAAACAATCAGTAAAACGTTAAACATGAACTCGTAAATCAGAGCAATGATGACACGAACGAATTAAAATATTCAACTGAATCATAATAAACTTTTATTTCAATGGAATGTTGAAATGGACTTCAATGTTTTATAACTTGAACCGTCAGTGACCCGTTGAGTCACTGGTAGTCTATGTTTAAGTTCCCTCAATATAGGCGATGGGTAATTGAATGGAGTGTGTGATCTGAATATGAGCTTTAAAGGTAGTTATAATCAGGATGACGATAAATAGCAATTTATTCTTGACTTGATGAGGTTAAGATTGTAGTGTTCGGGGAAGCATCCACGTGGGAGTCTGTTACACAAATTAACCGTTCTCGGAAAAATGCTGTGTGAAAATTGAATTTCGGAGAAAATATGGGTAATTCGGCTTTGTGGACATAGCCTGTCGACTCCTTCTACATAAGTCAAAAGGTCGATATAGGTCCGTCTTACACGAGTGTCAAATTGTAGACATGGGTCCAGTTTACACCTGAGTCAAAAGTTAGACATAGGTACGGTTATACACTAAAGTCAAAGAGTTAAAAGTAGGTCCGTTTTACACCAGTGGCAAAATGGTAAACATATGTGCTGTTTTCCCTATTATAAAAAAGTAAACATGTCCTGTTTACATTAAAATCAAAATGGTAGTCATAGGTCTAGTTTAAACTTGTGTCAAAAAGTAGACATAGGTCCGTTTTACACCATTGTCAAAAATTTAAACATAAGTCCGTTTTTCACCAGTGTCAAAAATTTAAACATATGTCCGTTTTACACCATTGTCAAAAATTTAAATATAGGTCCGTTTTACACCAGTGTCAAAAATTTAAACATAGGTGCGTTTTACACCAGTGGCAAATTGTTTATATAGGACCTGCTTAGCCAAGTATCAAAAAAGTAGATAGTGGTTTCGTTTACATTTGAAGTTAAAAGGTAAACATTTTTTGGTTTGAACTTGAAACTCAAGGTGAAATGAGGTTCCTTTTACACTAGAATAAAAAAGGTTCAAATTTATTGAGTTTGTAAGTATCCACCCAGAAGGTTTTAAAATCATTTAAAAAAAAACTCTACTTAAAGTTGCCACTTTCGTATTCTAAGTACAACAAAGAGAGCAATTAAAACCCCTATTCGACAGTTTGACAGGTAGGCGGAATGTCAAGTGGTCCTATTTGACAGAAATCGAGCACAACTTTCCTCTGTCATGTGTACAACGTGCCACCCTTGGTGCCCGGTGAAGTTTTGGAGAGAATGGAAACCAAATAGGAAACTGATACTTAACACCAGGAAGAGGCAGTTAAAATTCCTGAGACAGGTAATGAGGAAGGAGGGCTTGGAAAATCTGATACTCACAGGACGGATAGAGGGAAAGAGGAACAGGGGAAACAACGCATAACATAATGGGTTTGACCAGGGGATGGGGATACAAGGTCTGGGAAAAATGGCAAAAAGACAAAATTTATTGAGAGCTACAAGGTACAGGAGAAGGTGGAGGGTCATGATCGCTTACGTCCTGAAGGAACACGGCACATAAAAGAAATATGTTAGCTTCGGAAAGATTTATTTCTTTTAGACACCATATGCATGGTAATTACATTATTTAAAAAGTGGACATTGGTCTGGTTTACAGCAATGTCAAAAATTTAAACATAGTGTCAAATGATACTCACATGACCTGCTTACCCAAGTTTACAAAAAAAGTAGACGCTGGTTTCGTTTAGATTTGAAGTCAAAAGGTAGGCAAATGTTTTGGTTTAATTTTGAAACATAAGGTAGAATGAGGCCCACTTTTACACGAGAATAAAAAAGGTTGAAATTTGTCGAGTTTATAATTATCCACCCAGAAGGTTTTTAAATCATTTTAAAGACTCTACTTAAAGTTGCCACTTTCGTATTCTAAGCCCCACAAAGAGGGCAATTAAGACTCCTATTCGATACTTTGATAGGTAGGTGAAATGTTAAGTGGTCCCATTAGATAAGAAAGTGGGCAAACTTTCCTCTGTAATGTCTACAATGTGCCACCCTTGGGAACTGGTGTAGTTGTCGTTGGAAATATGTATTGTACGAAGAGTTTTGAAAAGTTCTTGGCTTACCCAATAGAAAAACTAAGGAATCGTAAACTAAATGATGATATTTGGTGTCATTGTCAGATTTTAGCAAGCATTCCCTACACGCAAGCCACCAATCTGCCACTAGCGTTTACCGCTGGTGGCTCGCTTTTACCGCTGGTGGCCGGCTTTTACTGCTGGTGGCCCGCTTTTACCGCTGGTGGCCCGCTGTCGGACGGGCGGTCTGTTCTTCTGGGCAATGTTACCACTGGCGAACCGCTAGAGGCCCACGGATGGTGGCCACCAGAGGAATAGTGGCCACCAGAGGAAAGCTGGCGTTACCACCGGCGGCCCGCTAGCTGGCCACTAGCAGCTTGCGTGTAAGAGTGTAGTCCTGAAAACTTTACAGCAGTTACTGGTAATTCGTCCCTGCTTGCTGTAGGGTTTGAGACAGCGATGTATTCGGCATCATCCCTAGAGATCGAACCCAAGCAAGAAGAAAAAAAAGTTTATCGTCTTACCCTGGACGCGGATGTAGTTTATCGTCTAACCCAGGACGCGGATGTGGGTTATCGTCTTACCCTGAACGCGGATGTGGTTTATCGTTTTACTCTGGACGCGGGGATAGTTTATCGTCTTACCCAGGACGCGGATATAGTTTATCGTCTAACCCAGGACGCGGATATAGTTTATCGTCTTACCCTGGACGCGGATGTAGTTTATCATCTTACCCTGGACGCGGATGTAGTTTATCGTCTTATTCTGGACGCGGATGTAGTTTATCGTCTTATTCTGGACGCGGAAGTAGTTTATCGTCTTACCCAGGAGTTTATCATCTTACCCAAGGCGAGCAGCAAAATATTTCTATTTGTAATTGCCATTGTGCTGCATAAATCGCCAGCTTTTGTAGATATCTCTGAACCTCCCTTTTGGATGTACTCTCTAAATCCATCATGAAGAAATAGTGGTCCGCGAGCCACCTGCGACTTATTTGGCAGTCTGAATCTAGTTTTATGAAGAAAATAACATTTATTAAAATTTACTTCGTTTCGTTCTCACTTGTTCACTCGCACGCTCTCTCATGTCTAATCACATACATAAGCAATGATTAAACGCGATGTTTCGTCGAAGGTAACGTTTTCATCCTTTTAAACCATTGGCAATTTCCACTAAAGAAGATCAGACGTGTAAATATCTTTTACTTTAGAAACAGGAAACATTCATAATAATTTTATTCTCTGGAGAAGAATTATATTTTTTTAAATAAAAAATATAATTCTTCTCCAGAAGAATCGTTTTGTTTTTCAACTGACTAAATTAGAAATAAATCAACTTAAGCAGCGTGTGCAGAAATACCTCCCACATATATCTCTAAGAAATTCATCCGGTATAAGGGGTAAGATACCGTTATGTGGGAGGTATTTCTGGAAGGTATTTGTGGGAGGTATTTCTGCCGCACCCTGTTTTATACCAAGATATCAAATCTAGAAAAAAATTTTCTACGAAAAAAAAAAAAAAGAAAAAAAGACTCACCCATTTTTAAAACCTTTTTTCTTTTATATTGAAAATGGCTAAGGCAACTTCAACGAAAAATTACCTTCAATTTTTTTTTTTATTAATGTGACCCGCCTTATGATAAGCCATATTTCATGCGGCCCACTAATCGGAAAAGGTTGCCCACTCTAAATGACTGCAAGAAAACTAGGCTGGGGGGAAATAAACTATTGGCAAATTCGCTCCAGTTCTTCAGCCTTATGGCAGGCTTAGGCAAGCTGACTTTACATAAATAGATATTTATTATAAATATCGATAATGCCATAGTACATGCTGTAAAAATTAATAACTTGCAACAAGATTTTGTCACGTCGCGAAACAAATTAAAACGTCTAGAAACATGTCCGCGTGCCGGAATCCAGTTGGACGGAATCCAATATGTGACACGTGACACTGATCAAATAACACTGGAGAAGTCTCACCAAAAGTTGGCTGTTATATGGCGGGAAAATGTGGCGATGTGTGAAAGAGATAGATAGATAGATAGATAGATAGATAGATAGATAGATAGATAGATAGATAGGGTTTATTTGTGAGAGGGCGTGAGCAAAGAGTCACGGTGAATAATACCAAATTGTTGTGCCTCAGCTCAGACATGTTTACGCATTTCATTTTTCCTGTTGTGTTTTCTCTGGCGTTTTTCCCGCTCAAAAATATTTCCATCTTTTATTGAGTGCGGCACGCAAAACCAGCGCCATTTTCACATATACGCAGCTTCCATTTCTTTCTTTTTTTATTATTAATTTGTCCATTTGATTATTTTTCGGTCGGTTTCTGAATGCGCCTAAACGTTCTCTGGTGAATGGACAAATTTCCTCTATGTGGGTCTAAAGAAAGTTCAAGTCAGTCGGGCTAAAATAAAAAAAAAACACACAAATTTGTGGCACCAAAAGAGGATTGAACCGAATACAACAGTAATTGTAAGAAAAGAACGAGTTTGCTAATCAGTAATCAAAAGATTCTAATTGACACGATATCTCCCCTCTCTCTCTCTCTCTCTCTCTCTCTCTCTCTCTATATATATATATATATATATATATATATATATATATATATATATATATATATATACTGAGAAACAGAGGAAACTAAGATAGTTAGATAGATAGATAGATAGATAGAGAGAGAGAGATTGAACATACTGAGATAGTCAGAAAGCGACGGAAAACGATGTTCAATCTATCTATCTATCTATCTATCTATCTATCTATCTATCTAAGTTTCTATGTTTCTCTGTTCACATTTATCAATCAACCAGTCCATATCTATCTATCTATCTATCTAGCTAGCTAGCTAGCTAGCTATCTCAGTGTCTTCACATTTGACTCTCTGGCAGTTCATATCTATCTATCTATCTATCTATCTATCTATCTATCTATCTATCTATCTATCTATCTATCTATCTATCTCGGTGTGTTCACATTTATCTATCAACCAGTTCATATCTATCTATCTATCTATCTATCTATCTATCTATCTATCTATCTATCTATTCCTGTTCATTATCTATCTATCTATCTATCTATCTATCTATCTATCTATCTATCTATTCCTGTTCATTATCTATCTATCTATCTATCTATCTATCTATCTATCTATCTATCTATCTATCTGTCTGTTGGACTTTATCAAGGTAAGGGTTTTATTTTGCAAGAAGTATTTATAAACGGCAGTGAAAATGTCATTAGTTTTTCAGAAAATTTAAATTTAAGAACGCTCATTAATATATTTCAGGCTAAACTGAAAGTCAAGGTAAATTATGGAAGATGCTAAGTGATATAATTTAATGTTGTTACTGTTCGATTTTTTATAATATAATTATTATGTAGGTTATTTTAGTCTAAGATTAATTAATGTATTACATATTTTAAGTTTTGGGATTTAACTGTTTTCTTTTCTTTTGAAAATATTAAAACATCGTTACAAGTATTTGTACATGTATTATACAAGTATTTTACAAGTATTTATTTTAAAAGTATTTATTTTACAACCATTTATGAACAGAAATAAAAATGTTAATTTTTATTTATTTTATTCTTATTATTATTTTGAATAATGCATATGATGCCTAAAAGAAATAAACCTTTCCCAAACTAACATATTTCTTTTGTGTCGTGACCCTTCAGGACGTTAGCGATCATGGCCCTCCATCTTCTCCTGTACCTTGTAGCTCTCAATAAGTTTTTCCATTGTTTGCAAGGACATGTCACCATTTGTCAGACAGCTCTTCGATGCATTTTGAGGTAAGATTCCGCACGTTTTGACGTGGCAAAACTTTTCCCCGAAAACTTGAATCTGGTTTTCATTAGAGAAAATAACCCCTGCCATCAAAGCAGTTTTCAGCGATCTGCAACAGTAATAATCGATTATTTCACGTCAAGTTGAATATCGCGGATGGGACGGAATAAATCAACAGAGTCCCAATTTGTCTTCATGTGTTATTCTTTCTGTACGTTGTCAGGGAGGTGAGCTATATTTAGCATTTAATCCGCTGTGTACGCTGTTACTATCTTCAAAATCTAATATTTGTTTGTGAACTCCTAATTTAATCAATTGTTAACTCTACTGCTGGGACAGTTAGTTCGCTGTGTCGTACAATTCAGTTTTTCTCGACAGAATCTATATCACAGGTTTATATGTTTAACATTCGTCTCTGCACTGAATATTGCTGGCTGCCAAATCGGGTTTGGCGCTCTTGCTATTTATCAAAAGATTCTTGACAAAATCCAAAGAGGAAAATCTGCAACATTATCGGTCATGACCTGACATCTCAGCTTCAGTCACTTTTCCACTGCCGTAACGTAGCTTCTCTGTGCCTTTTCTATAAATATTTTATGGCCATTGTTCCGAAGAGCTAGACCAAGGATCGGCAACCTACGGCCCGCGGGCCGGATTCGGCCCACGAAAGCATTTTGACCAGCCCGCGAGCCTGATTACCAATGACTCTATTTTTAACATGAGAGACGAGGCTTTCGAATTAGACTATCTGCCAGTTATCTTTCATTAGACTTATTTTACCAAGTTGCGTTGCTTACGTTTAATGTCAAATAATGGATACATATTTGTTATGACCCTTGGCTACATTAAAAGATAACAGAAGCGAAAGGAACGATCAAGTGAAAGAAGCCAGGGAGGGACTGACATGCGAGAAATCTAAAGACAGTTAAACATACGCGCATTATACATACATGCCTCATGAATGTGTGGATGATACCGCATGTGTACGTACGTAAGTGTATATACATATGTGTGTGTGTGTGCGTGTGCGTGCGTGTGTCGGCACTGTACTTATATATTCACTTGTTTATAATCATTCAAATATACTTCCGTAGAACTAAAGTGTCCGGATTACTGAGTGAATTAGTATTGCATATTCCATAGAGTCTTAAAAATGGATATTTATGTAGAAGTGAAGGCAAAATATATGAATTTCGCATACAAGCTCCCCTGGCAAGCAGTCAGATACAAACCAATTCGAATTCTTCCTATTTTGAGATCTTACGCAGCTGGCCTTGTGCCATACTAACTAAGCCTTATAAGCATCTTGCTGTAGAGCAAGAGTTATATGGACATTCGTGTAGACGTGCCATCAAAAATGACACCGGTTGTTAGAAAGTTTTACTAGTGAGATGCTATGGAACAAAATCTTGAACCAATGCATTGAGATTCAACAAAGTGGAGATGAAGAGTTCACAATTAAACTCGAAGCCAATGAACCATTTAATTCATCTGTTCCCTTTATATTTTTTAGATGTTTAATAGTATCTATGATTCATTGAATACCCCCGGTCTTATAAAGAGTATTACATTAAGACGGTTTATATAAAAGGGTGTTTCATTAAGACGGATCAAAGTCAACAGTAAATAAATCAGTGTTATTTGTGAAAATTTATTTATTTTCCAATTGGATCATGTTATTTAAGTCATGACAATTATGTGTGAAAAATAATATCGCCCAAATGTCCGCCAAATCTGAAAGAAAAAAAGAAAAAAATCATTAGACACTTAATTCACATTTAAAAAAAGGTCCAAGTTATTGGAACATCCTTTATAAATCGCTTTTTGCTTAATAACGTTTCATGTTAAAAATTTAATGCGTTTTTGCGAATTTTAATATTTTAGATAAGTAGATGATGTATTTCTCCAAATGAAAATCTTTCATGGAATTAAGCATTTCAAAAAGTTTTACGAAAACCATTCTTTCTTTCAGTTTAGTTATGAACTTAAAATTAACAACACAATTCCATTGGTGGATGTTCTGCTTAATTCTAACAATCTTAATGTTAATGACCTTCTCATAAAAAACGAAACATTCCATAATTCATGCCACCTGAATTATAACAGTAATTTTCTCAGCCGCTGCCAAATAGCTATTTTAGAAATTTAATTAAGAGACTTGACTTAATTACCTCTTCAAGCGCACCACGCTATAAAGAACTCGACAACATAAAAGAAAACACTAATTAACAATGGATTTTTATAGTATATAATTGACCAACAAGCTAAAACGAACCATCAAATCGAAAACAATAATAAAACTACCTTATTTTATTTTAATCAAAGGAATATTGTATCCTATTTACTTCTGTTTACCATATAACTATTATTTAATATTTAATCCTACACCTTTGTATAAATTAATTGAAACAACCGCTTTAGTTTCCTTTCTTTCACCATACGGTCAATTTTAGACCCATTGGAGTGACAGGGTATAATCGATTTCTATTTTTCCCTCAGGTTAGGTCATTTGCAGTGGTGTGCATTAATATGAATCTATTTTCGGGGTATATGATGGAATTTGTTTGGCCTTGAAAAATATTGCGTCATCCGTGATTGCATTAGATTTTTATCACACCCAGACACTATTGTCTCGACTGTCGATTAGTTGTTTTACGGTCATTGACTTTGATGGCTGCTACTCCAAGGGAGCGTACGTAACCCTTTGTACAAATTAATTGAAACAACCGCTTTAGTTTTCTTTCTTTCACCATACAGTCAATTTTAGACCCACTGGAGTGACAGGGTATAATCGATTTCTATTTTTCCCTCAAATTAGGTTATTTGCAGTAGTGTGCAGTAATATTAATGCATTTTAGGGGTATATGATGGAATTTGTTTGGCCTTGAAAAATATTGCATCATCCGTGATTGTATTAAATTTTTATCACGCCCAGACACTATTGTCTATACTGTCGATTAGTTGTTTTACGGTCATTGGCTTTAAATGGACGTTACTCCAAGGAAGCGTACGAAAATTGTAACGCTTCACGAACATACTGGCAAGCCTTACCAGTGAGCAAATCAAAGTACTAGAATGGCTTGGAAAAAATTAGACTTTGTGGAATGGACATACGAAATATTAATATGTGTACTCGGTCATGTTTCATTGGGAAAATACAAAAAAAATGCAAATAATAACGGAATTATTCGTTTTGTTTCAATTAATTTGCACAAGGGTGTATATAGTATTTACTCCTACATGCTATTGACTATTATTTACTATTTGCTCCTATGTGCTATTGACTATTATTTACTATTGCGTAGATTGCTGGTGACCTGGAAGATATCCGTGATTGGACTATAATTTGCCAAGCATGGCCGCAGCGTGTGATTAAAAGTGAGGGAAATTGTAGGTGACTAATGGAACACAGGTCGATACCCAATCTGGGTCCACCGTGGAAAAGGCAATCGATGTTGAAAGACCCAAAACCCCTAATGAACATCGGGTAAAAACCATCACTAATGATGTGTGCCAAAGCATCAAACAGGCGTATTTCATGAAATTTGTTGTTAACTGAGACAAGAAATGGTCTACTCTCAAATGAAACCTTTTCTTTTAGCCTTCCCCCAGAGTATGGCTAATGCTAACCACCACTAGCATGAAGTGGGAAGATAATACTAGGTTCTCTGCTAGTGAAATTGGTTCGCTGTATTGTGCGTGACAATGTTTCTCGACAGAATCTCTTTTACACATTTATAAATCTGCCATTCGTCCATGCATTGAATATTGCTTTCACATCTGGTCTACTGCTTTTGCTATATATTTACAGAAATATAGACAGATAATAAACAAAAGAGTAATAAAAAGACAATGTTAGAATCCACATTGCTATCAATCATATCGTTGATCATAGTGAGGTAACACTTAATAAAATGCCTACAACTTCGGTCAAAAATGCATAAAACAAAGTATTATTGAAAAATGCCTAAGAAAAAACATTTCCTTCTACGGAAATATTAAACATTTCCCATTCAGAACCGGGGTTATGGCAGCTACATAAAGAGTTGGAGGATGTCTCTGTATTGGGAAAAGCCTTTACAAGTATGCACAGCCACTTCAAATAACTGCCCTGAAATCATTACGAAAAATACGGGCCTCTTCCAACAGAGACTTTATAGAACCAAGTAAATTTCACTAGGTTAATTTCCTTTATATACAACGAAGAAAACGAAGTTCTGACGCAAGGTGGGAGCAAACAATATCACCTTCTCAGATTCACAGCTAGCAGACGATAAATGTGTCAGTTGTCTCAGTGGTGTCGGTCTCCTGCCAGTTTTGAGAGATTTGCCCCACTTTCCCGTTTCATAACTTGTTTAAGGAAATACGAAACTGTCCTCTTTTGATCATCTTAGAGAACCATATTTTAATTTCCTTTACATGGCTGATGCTAACCTTCAGGTGAGTGACGTATTGTGTCTTCTAGGACTAAAGTTTTCAGCTGACATGAAGTGGAAAGATTATATTGAATCGATTTCTAAGTCTGCAGTTAAGAAAGTTGGTTCACTGTGTCATGCTAGACAATTTTTCTCTACAGAATCTATTTTACATGTTTATAAGTTTACCATTCTTTCTTGCTTTGAATATTGCTGCCACATATAGCCTGGTGTTCCTGCTATGTATTTAGAGATTCTTGATAAAATTAAATGAAGAATCTGCAAAGGTTATTGGTCCAATTTCTCACCACAGTAACATAGTTTCCCTTTGTTTTTTCTAGAAATATTTTCATGGTAATTGTTCTGGTGAGTTTTCCTCTGTAGTACCTTGACGTATATGAATTTAAACGCAATAGTAGATTGGCAATAAGTTATATTTATTTTACAGGACTTGCAGTAACCGTAGGTTCTATTCTAATAGTTCCTCTTCTCGAACTTCTTATTGTCTGATAAGCTTAATCATATTATCGTTGAAAGACGAAAGGAAAACACTATATTGATACATGTTTAAATCCAATTTAAGCTTTCGGCTTACACAAGCCATTATCAAAGATAAAAATATCAATAAATCAAACAACACACGGACGAAACAAAAATCATAGTCCGCCTTTGCTGCATGAAAATTCCCAAGTAACGACAAACTCGTATATACGAGACGCGGAAGCGAAAATCGCGTCGCAGCTCGTGACGACACACATGACCACGCGAGAGTGAAAACGAGAAGTATGAAGTATGAGAAACCATTGGTATAAACCAATGCCTATAATTTATGACAGAAACCATTGGTTTATACCACTATATCTATCTATCTATCTATCTATCTATCTATATATATATATATATATATATATATATATATATATATATATATGCATGTAGATAATATTAGTGGTCAATATATATATAGAAAATATATATATATATATATATATATATATATATATATATAAATTCCTAAGAGGTAGAACACTCAATGTCAGGACAAAGTAAGAATATTATATTATATATAATATAATATTTATTACTTTGGAATCATATTTCACGATCAATTTACCAGACCTTCAATTTGTAGGTCTGATGAATTGGATCGTAATTATTTCAATGTAATAAATTATAACCAAGGAATAATAGTGTTTGAGACTTATATATATATATATATATATATATATATATATATATATTCACACAGAGCGAGAGGGGCGATTTATCTCTACCAACATATATATATATACACACACAGAGCAGAGAGAGAGATCGATTTATCTCTACCAAATATGTATATATATATATATATATATATATATATATATATATATATATATATATACATATATATATATATATATAGCAGAGAGAGAGAGAGAGAGAATGTGCTTCTTGACTGTACCAACACACGACACACACGCATACACACATGGACACACACATATACATACATATATATATATAGGAGCTTAGTTGTGGCACAAGATCGAAATTTGGATCAAAAATATTTATGTAATATATACATGTAAAGTTGTACGCCTTCGAATTTAGCTTATTTGCCCACACACACACACACACACACACATATATATATATATATATATATATATATATTGAGCGAGAGAATGAGAGAGTGATTTCTTTTTCTAGTCATTCATATGCATTCTTGTGTTTGTATGAATTATTTCGAATTACACTCTAATATTTCCTCGACAGAGTGAATGTGTTCATTATTTACAATCTTATATATATATATATATATATATATATATATATATATATATATGTACAATCATGCATGCATACAATTGTATATATTTGTGCGATTGTGTGTCTGTGCACGTGTCTTACGTGCGAGAATGGGTGTATGTCCTGCTCCATACCAGATATGTAAATACATCACCAGCACAAAAGAAGGACCCACTTTGAAAACGCGCATGCTCGTAGAGGCGTGTCAGTTCTGCAAAATACCAAAGCCACTTATTATTAATCCAAGGCCTCATCCCACATTGCTTTGTGACTCAGTCTATCTGTCCCGTCAATCGGATCCACACCCACCACCATTGCCTCCCCGCCACCGCTTACTTGACTTCGTGCCTGACGTTATTTTTATCAGCCGTTATGGAAGGAGCCGTCAGAGAATTCGCCTTTCGATTTCAAAATGGCCGAGGCTCTCTCATATTTTTCCAGAGTCAAAAAGCCGGCGGTATTTTTGTGCAATAAAAATGTCCACCATTCGAATAAACCAAAGGATATGTTCAGCGGAAGAAACATTTGTGTCGTGCTTATTGATATGACACTAGGTCAAAATTCGTTTGATTACGAGCAGAAAGATTGTGTTGCGTCAACTTTTCAAGTCGGTGGGTCTCTTTGTCATGAAAATTAACATTCGAAATCTTTTGTTTTTTTTAATTCGAAATTTGGTAGGGCTAATATGTTATGTACTAAACTGAGCTTAGTATATTGAGTCGAATAATCTTGAGAGAAATATATTGATTTGATTCTTTAACGGCACATCAACTCTTTATGGGTCATTTAATGTCAAAATTTAATCTTATTAGAAGATTTGAAGTAATAAAAAAATGATATGTTATTCTGCTTTCACAATTGAATACATGGTAGATGATACTCAGCTTTTCTGCATATACATGTTTGAAGAGGTGTTATTTGTGTTTTATGATGTAGCTCTGTTGAAGTTATATTTTGGAATACAATTTAGGATATTAAGCGGATTAATATCATAAGAGTGTTATTTCATGCTTGTTGTTCAGTCGGTTGATTTTGTCTAGCGGCATATCAACACATCTATGGGTTATTTAATGCCGAAATCTAAATATTTTGAACACAATTTTATGGCTTCAACTAAATATATTTTGAATGCAATTGTATGCCTTCAACTACAGGTAAAATGTATTGTTGGTCATTTTACTATAAATATGTATTGTTGGTTGATTGATTTTGTTTAGCGGCATATCAACACCTCTATGGGTTATTTAATGTCGAAATCTAAATATTTTGAACACAAATTTATGGATTCAACTGAATATATTTCGATATATAAATATATATATATATATATATATATATATATATATCGCTGGTATTTTTACAATAAATGTATTTTTATCTTCACAGTGTTTTCTTTTTGTTTGAGGATTCAGTATTTAGCATTAGTTGAGACCCTAACAGGTGCTGCCATCCCAAGTCAGGGTGGAGCTGGGAACAGCAGCATTTGAGATGGTTCCACGTCCCTCAAAACCTGTAATCTTCCCGTCAGAGGCGTTGCTGCCGGATGTAGTTTATCGTCATACCTATAACAATTAGTATTTCAACTGACATGCGTCTCTATGCCTTGAAATTCAGCATCTAATTCATTTTTTTTAAACTTGATATCATACTTCGACCTCTCACAAACACATTTTGTTATTTATCAAATTTATCTTCCTGTGGCATTGGTCCGCATAGTAGTGAAGGAACCGACATAAGAAGATCGTGTTGCGCCGAAAGCTTATTTCATACGGTTCGCCTGCAGTTGTGTGCTGACATTAGTTTAGCGTCATTCAATATCGAATATTCTTTTTAATTTTATCTCATTTTAAATTTAAACATTTAATCCATAATATAAAATGCTTATATAAATAAAACAAAAATCTTACTCTTTCTTCTTTAATTACTATCAAGAACTTTTTCGTATTTGCCTTAATGTAGGCACCCCCAAAGAAACAAGATACATCAAGTTTAAAATGAATTTTTAAAAAATGAAAAATATTCCTTGAAGCTTTTATTTTCGTTTTAATTTCAAGCTAATAGGTTAAATTTAATATTTCCAATAAGCAAAATTCTTTGCTGCATTTAAAAACTAATTTAAATTGACTGAAAGGAATTTTTTAAATCGCTAAAAATCGCTGATTTTAGCGCCATTTTTAGCAATCTCTCAGCATAATGTAATTCTTTTTTCTCTATGTTATTTTTGGAAGATTTTCTTTCAAAAATAAAATAGACTTTTCCGAAACTTTACTAAAGAGATATTAGCTGATGTAAAGTTTAATCTGATTTGAAACACATATTACTTATTTTTAGTTTAAAATGTCGCAGAATGCATTTGTTAACATTTTTGGTAGGGGTTTTGATTAGGTATTTACAGCTCTATTGATAGAGACGGAAGTTTGAACTTTTTCTACAGGGGTTATATCTGTAAAAATTACTTGAGGAATATAATGTGAGAACCATGTTTTATATAATTGTTAGCTTCCCAGTACTATTTAGGAAAATATTCTCTGTAATCTAAAGATTTATTGAATTTTCGGTATTTTGTCTTTAAGTTTAATTTAGTTACCATTCTCGTTTCCTGATAATGTCGTGTAACCGGGCGCGGGCGGGCATTACCAACGCACCAGTTAAGCGTTTTTCCAAGCTGCTGCCCGTTACCTCGGGTCTGCGACGTGCATCTTGAAACATTGAGGAGTCCTGGCCTTTTGCGAGTCGTATAGGCCCACTCTGACGAACCTCGGTCCTAAGACGCAAATTTAAATAAGTCGGGTGTAACATATGTAAAAAATGTTTTTCTTTGTTTTTTTTTCCCCAGGGTTTTCTAAAAAAAGAAATTTTTGAAATATTTTTTTAATTAATTCGGAAAGTTTCATTAAAATTCGGCAAATATTTTATTTTTGTATAAATTTCCAAGTCATTGTTTTTCACCCTAAAAAAGACATTAAAATTTCCTATACTAATTTATGGTCACCGGGTGACGTACGAAAAACAAGATTTTAAATCAAAAATTCGAATTTACTAAAAAGGAAGAAAAAAAAACAAAACAATTTAATGATAAAAGGATACGTTGGCCTTTCCTCTTAATAATAACATAAACATTTTGACCATAAAACTTTGGGGCATTTTTTCATCACGGTATGTTTGTTTTTTAGCGAATCTTTGTACGAACCTAATTAAATATTTTATATATGCAAAAATATTTAAAGTATGAATAATTTTCAAACAAAAATTTTCCAGCTTGTTAGTGATATTTGAGGATATTCATGCATATATATTTAAATATACACCCCGTAGTATACATATATACGTGAAAATACACACTCTAGTATGCATATATACGTAAATATACGCCCTCTAGTATACATATACACGTCCTCTATTTTGCATATATACGTGAATATACACCCTCTAGTATGAATATATACGAGAATATACACCCTCTAGTATGCATATATACTTGAATATACACCCTCTAGTATGCATATATACGTGAATATACTCCCTCTAGTATGCATATACACGTGAATATACACCTTCTAATATACATATATACCTGAATATACGCCCTCTAGTAAGAATATATACGAGAATATACGCTCTCTAGTATGCATATATACGTGAATATATGCCTATTAATATACATATATACTTGAATATACGCCCTCTAGTATGCATATATACGTGAATATACGCCACTAGTATGCATAAATACGTGAATATACACCATCTAGTATGCATACATACGTGAATATACGCCACTAGTATGCATAAATACGTGAATATACACCATCTAGTATGCATATATACGTGAATATACGTCATTTAGTTTGCATATATACGTGAATATACGCCCTCTGGTTTGCATATATACGTGAATATACGTCCTCTAGTATGCATAAATACGTGAATATACGTCATTTAGTATGCATATATACGTGAATATACGTCATTTAGCATGCATATATACGTGAATATACGTCATTTAGTATGCATAAATACGTGAATATACGTCATTTAGTATGCATATATGCGTGAATATACGTCATTTAGTATGCATATATACGTGAATATACGTCCCTTAGTATACATATATACGTGAATAAGCACACTCTGTTAAGTAGATATGTGAAATTTCGATTAGATTCAACGGCCATATGTCAGTGATCAAGGCGAGCTTTCAATTTGGCTTGGTCTAAAGAGGGGTGGTCCTCGCCAGTTTTACCTGCCAAAACATGCTACACATCAACGAATACATCCACGACTTTCAACTGAAAATATGTGGAGGGAACAGGTCTGGTCTTCAGCTGCGCAGCGAGCCTAATACAACATTCGGTCTTAGAACCGATGATGATGATGATGATGATGATGATGATGATGATGATGATGATGATGGAATAAGTGTTTCAGCAAACTTATTGAATTTCAGACAAGGATCGTAATTGGAGAAGCTAAAGTGTCCGGGATCTGAATGGACTTCAAGAGGAAAAAGCAAAAGGATCAGATTTGTTTTCCCCCTTTTGCACACGCGTTTATTTTCTTATTTACACGCACAAGCTTGTGGAATCTCACGAAATATCTCATCTCCGAAACGAAAAGAGAGACAGAGATAATGAGAGAGCGAAATAGAAAGAGATAGAAAGAGTAAGAGAGACGTCACAACCAAAATAATTTAATTCCTTTTATTCTTATATTTTCCCCACAGTCAGTGACGTCTAGCGTCTTAGTGGCTTTATTGCCTTACTTGGGGGTGAAATGATTAAAAAAAATAAGAATATCTATAAAATCCATAGAAAAAAATAACAAAAAAATTCCACGAATAATAATAATAATAATAATTTCGACAACCCTAACAAATTTAAACATATACCCGTCCTACCAACTCTATAAGAACCACCATTGAAAAATCTTCTCCAAACTTAACATCAAATTCATCAACATCACCTCTAAAACAACAAGAGATATAGCTAGCATCAAACGAGAGACAACAACACCAACACAAGGAGAGAGACAGGAATATACAACATAGACTGCACAAAATGCCCACTGATTTACATTGGCGAAACATCTAGAAACTTCAAAAAAGATTATATTAACACCACAGAGATATACTGCGTTTGATTTTTGTAGGGTGGGGTCTCATATTTTATTACATTTTAGTAACCCTTTGTGTCTTACTGGTTTTATTGTTTTGCTTGGGGTGAAATCATAAAGATTTCCTCTAGTTGAGAAATCATCCTAACACAATTTTCTTCTATTCATCCTTTTCTTAGCCTTGTGCCATGCATAGCTACTTTGATTTAATATCAGTAATGCTTTGAAAGAGAACAGTTGTTGAGATGGCAGGGTTATTTACAGAAGATCATAATTTCTTTAACTTTTTTTTCTGTATTTCCATGTCAGCTTTTTTTTTTATTATTTGTCGCGATCTTTCCAAAA